CCTTTTACAAATAAAGTAATAACCCCTTAGACTTTGTCAAAAAAAAATGCTTTTCATTAAAATATTCAAACCCTTTGCCGATACAGTCAAGCCAAAACAAAATTTTTAAACCCCCAAAATGAAACCCTAAATTTTTTTCTTTGTTCCCCAACTTAAAAAATTTCCCCAGTCTTCGCAATTTTAGTTCGCTTAATTCTTTTAAATGTTCTCTTTTAGGCCCTAATTAAAAAAAAAAATTTTTTGTAGTTGATATTTCATAATTTTTTGAAATTTCCCCTTTATTTTAAAATATGACTGTCTCTCCCCCCCCCCCCCCCCCCCCCCCCCCCCCCCCCCCCCCCCCCCCCCCCCCCCCCCCCCACCCCCCCCCCCCCTCCTTCCCACACAAGGGGAGGGTGGGGGACCGGCCCCCTAATCATCTTTCCCTTTTTACGAAAAAAAATTTATTAGTATTGTAAATATTTTTAAGACCCTTTTAGAAAATTTTTGTTTAAAATATCTAAATTTAACCTTTCCATTTCTCAAACCCCGGGAAATAATCTAGGTCCTAGCCCCCAAAGCGAAAGCTTTACCCACTGGTTTTTACCGGGTTTGAACCAGGGGCCCCCCTAAATACATTTCCCGTAAATCCACCAAAAAACCGGAACTTTTAAAGCAACTCCCTTCCCGTTCATGGAAAAGGGGCGCACCAAATAAAAAAACCCCACTGCTCTCACCAATTTAGCAACACCCAAAACCCCCCCCGCCCCCTATTTTGTGAAAAGTGGTCTTTTATTTAAAACCAAACCACGACAAATTTTCCCTTTAAAATCACCCAAACCCCAAAAACTCAGTAGTATCCGGTTACCACCCATACCCCGCCGTGAAATTCCCCCTCACACATACAAATTTTACCTTAGGGCCCTTGAAAAAGGCCCCAAAAAAAACCCCTAATAGTTCAAGGAAACTCCCCCCCCCCCCCCCCAAACCCCCCCCCCCCCCCCCCCCCCCCCCCCCCCCCCCCCCCCCCTTTCCCCCCCCCTTTCCCCCCAAAAAACCCCCCCCCCCCCCCCCCCCCCCCCCCCTTTTTTCCTTTTTTAAAAAACTTAAATTAAACCCTTTTAAAAACCCGGGGGGAACCCCAAAAAATTAACTGGCAAAAAACGCCAATTTCTTTTATCTTTTGCCCGGCGCGATGGGGGGAGATGGGTTTTTACGTATTTAACGGGGTAAACCTCTCAAAAATGCTTCCTTGTTTTTTTTGCCAATTTTTAAACGCCTCCCCCTTTTTCCTGGAACCCTTGGCCTTTTTCCAAAGGCCCCTTTTTTTAAACTCTTCAAACGGTGGGTTCCTTTTTTAAGGTTTACGGGACTCCCCCCAAAAAAGTTTTTAAACCCTTTCCCCCCCGCCCCCGGTTGTGGGATCCCCTCGGCCCGGTTTTTCTTCCAAAAATTTCCGGTTTTCCGGCCAAAATTTACAAAAAGCATCTGCCTAATAAGCCTTAAATTTTTCTAATCGGGATTTCCCAAAAAAATCCCCTTTTTTTCTCCCCAAAAGGATCCCTTTAAAACATTTTTCTTTTATCCTTCCCCAACATCTATTTTCATTCCCCCTTTTAATTTTTGGACCCCCCCCTTTAGAAAATTTTATTTTCCCCTTGGAAAAAAAAAGAAAAATCCCCCCGGTTTGTAATAATTCCCAACCATTTAAATTTTTTTTTGGGGAACCCATTTTTAGGGCGAATTTTTTAAACAAAGGTTTATGATTGCTTGGGGGTCAACCAAATTTTAAAATTTTTAACCCCAAACCCCCGAGGTTTAAAACCCCAGTTCAGAAAAGGATGGGCAACCATTTTTCCCTCCCGCGACCATTTTTTTGCCCTTCCTTTTTAAAAATTTTCAAAGTTTTTTCGAAAGGATCATTAGGTCTCACACGTTAAAACCTTTTTAAGATTTTTTTCTAACCCTTTTCCGTAAAACCCAGAGGTGTAATGCCAGTTTCATTTAAAAGACCGAGTTAGAGCAAATCCCCAGTTATTTTGGGCTCTTTACTTTTTTTAATGTACTATCTCACACGATGAAATTATTCCCTTCCTGTTTAATTGTAAACACGTACCCCCACAAACTCAAATTTTCTGTTTTTTTTGGGAATGGCCCCTTTTCCTTGAGTCATTTCAGCCCCGTTCCTTTCCTTTTAAACGGCTTTTCCACTCAGGGAAAATTTGGGAAATCTTATTTAGATGTTTGGGAATTATCTTGGCCCCCTTCCCCCAAAAATTAATTTTAAACAAGTTCAAATCATTCCACCCAAAAAAACCCTGAATAAAAATTTTAAACCCTTTTCTGCTGTTGGGATTTAAATGCTTTTTCAATCTCGTCAACGTCTTTATCGTTCATAAAAGGGTTAAACACCCGGCCGGGTTTAAAACCCTTTAAAAACAAAGGCCAGGTTATCCATACGGGTGTTTTCTCCCCCGTTTCACGGTTTCGGTGTCCCCAGAAGAAAAGAGGTATTTGGTCCCGGTCGGAAAGGGGCAATTTTTCCCGAGAATATCTCTAAATTAAAACAAATTAAAGCTCTGAATAATTCCCAGAGGGGTAAGGCTCTGGTTTAAATGAAATTAAAAAAAAGGGGCCCCCAAAAAACCCGGGAAGAAGATCTGTATTTTTTTAACATGGGAGCTTTTGCCCCCCAAAAAAAAACATATCCGGGTTTTATACTCAAAAAAGGCACTTTTCTCTGCCCCCCTTTAGGAGGCCCTTTAAACCCGGTTTTTTTTTTAGTCCCCTTAAACCGGGGAAATTTTTCTCAGCAGTTTCTAACTCACCCCCCTTTAGTGGGTTTATAATGATAACCCCAACCCCAAAATTACACCAATTTATCCTCAGTTTTGGGGTTTTAACAATTTTAGTCTTTTCATAATTTAAACACACAGCCACGGTCCCCCAACTAAAACCATTGGGCATCCTTTTGCACAGCCTACGGTTTCCCCAAAAATCCCCCACTAGGGCAACACTTTGTACAGCCTACGACCCACAAGCCCACGGGACTCTTCTGAAGTCGGTACCGTCGATGTGCCAACTTCTGTTTGTAGTGTCCGAACCATTTGAGCTGCAAACTAATGTGACCCCACTGTGGAAAGGGCAGATTTTCACAAACATGATTGCATTCTCGCTTTTGCTCCAAGACCCCCACAAGTGTCATGGGACAAAATGAATGGAAGTACGGAGGTATTTTTGTGCCTACCCCAAAAAAGGGGTTAAATATGTGTAAAATATATATATATATAGTGCCTTCGGAAAGTATTCACACCCCTTGACTTTTTAGAAAAGTTTGCAAATGTATTTTTAAAAAATCCAGAAATACCTTATTTACGTAAGTATTCAGACCCTTTGGTATGAGACTCGAAGTTGAGCTCAGGTGCATCCTGTTGCCATTGATCATCCTTGAGATGTTTCTACAACTTGATTGGAGTCCACCTGTGGTAAATTCAATTGATTGGACATGATTTGGAAAGGCACACACCTGTCTATATAAGGTCCCACAGTTGACAGTGCATGTCAGAGCAAAAACCAAGCCCTGAGGTCGAAGGAATTGTCCGTAGAGCTTCGAGACAGGATTGTGTCGAGGAACAGATCTGGGGAAGGGTACCAAAACATTTCTGCAGCATTGAAGGTCCCCAAGAACACAGTGGCCTCCATCATTCTTAAATGGAAGAAGTTTGGAACCACCAAGACCCAAACTGAGTAATCGGGGGAGAAGGGCCTTGGTCAAGGAGGTGACCAAGAACCCGATGGTCACTCTGACAGCGCTCTAGAGTTCCTCTGTTGAGATGGGAGAACTTTTCAGATGGACAACCATCTCTGCAGCACTCCACAAATCAGGCTTTTATGGTAGAGCGGTCAGACTGAAGCCACCCCTCAGTAAAAAGCACATGACAGCCTGCTTGGAGTTTGCCAAAAGGCACCTAAAGACTCTCAGACCATGAGAAACAAGATTCTCTGGTCTGATGAAACCAAGATTGAACTCTGTGGCATGAATGCCAAGTGTCACATCTGGAGGAAACCTGGCACCATCCCTATGGTGAAGCATGGTGGTGGTAGCATCATGCTGTGGGGATGTTTTTCAGTGGCAGGGACTGGGAGACTAGACAGGATCAAGGGAAAGATGAACGGAGCAAAGTACAGAGAGATCCTTGATGAAAACCTGCTCCAGAGCGCACAGGACCTCAGACTGGGGCCAAGGTTCACCTTCCAACAGGACAACGACCTTAAGCACACAGAAAACGCAACGCAGGAGTGGCTTCAGGACAAGTCTCTGAATGTCCTTGAGTGGCCCAGCCAGAGCCCGGACTTGAACCCGATTCGAACATCTCTGTTAAGACCTGAAAATAGCTGTGTAGTAAGCTCCCCATCCAACCTGACAGAGCTTGAGAGGATTTGCAGAAAGGAATGGGAGAAACTCCCCAAATACAGGTGTGCGAAGCTTGTAGCGTCCTACCCAAGAAGACTCAAGGCTGTAATCGCTGCCAAAGGTGCTTCAACAAAGTACTGAGTAAAGGGTCTGAATACTTATGTAAAAGTTATTTTTAATTCATTTGCAAAAATTTCTAAAAACTAGTTTTTACTTTGTCATTGTGGGGTATTGTGTGTAGGTTGATGAGGGAAGAAAGCAATTTAATCCATTTTAGAATAAGGCTGTAACATAACAAAATGTGGAAAAAGTCAAGGGGTCTGAATATTTTACGAATACACCGTATATATTGTTTCCGATTGATGACCAATGAATTAATGTCCTACTTGAAAATGAAGGGACAGAGGAGCAGCATGCCTTTGATACCACTCGTGTGTCCTCCATTGTAGTTGGTAACTAAATGTGAGCAGTTGAGACATTTGACATAGACAGTGAGACATTGTTTATAGATTCTGACTGTTAAAGACACTTTAACAGTGCGCTACTGTTCTGTCGTGTCCTGCACGCCCACATTACGCCAATCGTTAATTATTTTTCTTCTCTTTTTATGCTTACAGTAAGTGTCATGAAAAGTCTGAAACCTCAGGAGGAATATGTGTTGCAGGCCTTCAGGAAAGTCCTACAATGTGCCCCTGACCACCATGGTGGTTCTTCAACAAGTACCATGGAAATACAAAGTATCTTCATCAAATGTCCTTTTCTAGTTTTCTTTTAGAATCTGAAATTGATGAAGTTGTAATTCGCTGATTCTCTTCATTGCAGATTTGACCGATCACACAACTCTTCAAGATGGCCACTACGCTCCAGATCTGACCGATCACACGACTCTTCAAGATGGCCACTACGCTCCAGATGTGACCGATCACACAACTCTTCAAGATGGCCACTACGCTCCAGATCTGACCGATCACACGACTCTTCAGGATGGCCACTACGCTCCAGATCTGACCGATCACACGACTCTTTAAGATGGCCACTGCGCTCCAGAGGGCCTTCTGCGCTCAGAGGTCCTTGATGAGGATCTACCTCATCACACCACTCTTATTAATCATTAATCAAATAAAACAATCTGCCTGTATATACTCTGTGTCCCAGTCTTTCTATGCATGTAATGTCTGTGGGTGAATTATGAAACAATTACTGTATGCAGATGTGCAAGAATTGTGATGTAGATTTGTTTGTGCCACTGCTTGATCTATTTTAAATGTACAATTATTTTGCAGATGTAAACGTTAATTGGTGCCTATGGAAACAAATATAAATGTAATGAACAAGGTTTTCAATATCCAATTGTATCCTATGTAGGTAATACTGTAAGTAGGTAATACGCAGTAGTCAGGTGGTCATTACCAGGTTATGATGAGGTCTTAACTATGACCAGTAGGCTAAGTAATATAATATATATAATATATATGACCAGTAGTCTAAGTAGTATATATAATATATATGACCAGTAGGCTAAGTAATAATATATATATAATATATAATTATATATATATATTATATATTATATATAATTATATTGACCAGTAGGCTAGTAATATAATACATATAATATATATGACCAGCAGGCTAAGTAAAATAAATAATATAATATGACCAGCAGGCTAAGAAATATAATATATAATATATATGACCAGTAGCTAAGTAATATAATATATATGACCAGCAGGCTAAGTAATATAATATATATATAATATATATGACCAGTAGGCTAAGTATATATAATATGACCAGCAGCTAAGTAATATAATATATATAATATATATGACCAGTAGGCTAAGTAATATATATTTGCCAGCAGGCTAAGTAATTAATTATATAATATATATGACCAGCAGGCTAGTAATATATATATATAATATATATGACCAGTTAGGCTAAGTAATATATATATATGACCAGCAGGCTAAGTATATAATATATAATATATATGACCAGTAGGCTAAGTATATAATATATATGACCAGCAGGCTAAGTAATATAATATATATAATATATATGACCAACAGGCTAAGTAATATAATATATATAATATATATGACCAGTAGGCTAAGTAATATAATATATATGAACCAGCCAGGCTAAGTAATATAATATATATAATATATATGACCAGTAGGCTAAGTAATATAATATATATGACCAGCAGACTAAGTCAATATAATATATATAATATATATGACCAACAGGCTAAGTAATATAATATATATAATATATATGACCAGTAGGCCTAAGTAATTATATATATATAATATATATGACCAGCAGGCTAAGTAATATAATATATATAAATATATTATTATGACCAGCAGGCTAAGGTAATATAATATATATATAATATATATGACCAGTAGGCTAAGTAATATAATATATATAATATATATGACCAGTAGGCTAAGTAATATAATATATATAATATATATGACCAGTAGGCTAAGTAATATAATATATATGACAAGTAGGCTAAGTACATATAATATATATATATATATATATATATATATATATATATATATATATATATATATATATATATATATATATATGACCAGCAGGCTAAGTAATATAATATATATAATATATATATATGACCAGCAGGCTAAGTAATATAATATATATAATATATATGACCAACAGGCTAAGCAATATAATATATATATAATATATATGACCAGCAGGCTAAGTAATATAATATATATAATATATATGACCAGCAGGCTAAGTAATAAAATATATATAATATATATGACCAGCAGACTAAGTGATATAATATATATGACCAGTAGGCTAAGTAATATAATATATATAATATATATGACCAGCAGGCTAAGTAATATAATATATATAATATATATGACCAGTAGGCTAAGTAATATAATATATATAATATATATGACCAGTAGGCTAAGTAATATAATATATATAATATATATGACCAGCAGGCTAAGTAATATAATATATATAATATATATATATGACCAGCAGGCTAAGTAATATAATATATATAATATATATGACCAGTAGGCTAAGTAATATAATATATATAATATATATGACCAGTAGGCTAAGTAATATAATATAATATATATATATATATGACCAGTAGGCTAAGTAATATAATATATATAATATATTTGACCAGCAGGCTAAGTAATATAATATATATGACCAGTAGGCTAAGCAATATAATATATATATAATATATATGACCAGTAGGCTAAGCAATAAATATATATTATATATATGACCAGCAGGCTAAGTAATATAATATATATAATATATATGACCAGCAGGCTAAGTAATATAATATATATAATATATATGACCAGTAGGCTAAGTAATATAATATATATATAATATATATGACCAGCAGGCTAAGTAATATAATATATATAATATATATGACCAGCAGGCTAAGTAATATAATATATATAATATATATGACCAGTAGGCTAAGTAATATAATATATATGACCAGCAGGCTAAGTAATATAATATATATAATATATGACCAGCAGCTAAGTAATATAATATATATAATATATAGACCAACAGGCTATGTAATATAATATATATAATATATATGACCAGTAGGCCTAAGTAATATAATATTATAATATATATGACCAGTAGGCTAAGAAATATAATATATATGACCAGTAGGCTAAGTAATATAATATATATATAATATATATGACCAGCAGGCTAAGTAATATAATATATATGACCAGTAGGCTAAGCAATATAATATCTATAATATATATGACCAGCAGGCTAAGTAATATAATATATATAATATATATGACCAGCAGGCTAAGTAATATAATATATATAATATATATGACCAACAGGCTAAGCAATATAATATATATATAATATATATGACCAGCAGGCTAAGTAATATAATATATATATAATATATATGACCAGCAGGCTAAGTAATAAAATATATATAATATATATGACCAGCAGACTAAGTGATATAATATATATGACCAGTAGGCTAAGTAATATAATATATATAATATATATGACCAGCAGGCTAAGTAATATAATATATATAATATATATGACCAGTAGGCTAAGTAATATAATATATATAATATATATGACCAGTAGGCTAAGTAATATAATATATATAATATATATGACCAGTAGGCTAAGTAATATAATATATATAATATATATGACCAGCAGGCTAAGTAATATAATATATATATAATATATATATATGACCAGCAGGCTAAGTAATATAATATATATAATATATATGACCAGTAGGCTAAGTAATATAATATATATAATATATATGACCAGTAGGCTAAGTAATATAATATAATATATATATATATATATATATGACCAGTAGGCTAAGTAATATAATATATATAATATATTTGACCAGCAGGCTAAGTAATATAATATATATGACCAGTAGGCTAAGCAATATAATATATATATAATATATATGACCAGTAGGCTAAGCAATAAATATATATTATATATATGACCAGCAGGCTAAGTAATATAATATATATAATATATATGACCAGCAGGCTAAGTAATATAATATATATAATATATATGACCAGTAGGCTAAGTAATATAATATATATATAATATATATGACCAGCAGGCTAAGTAATATAATATATATAATATATATGACCAGCAGGCTAAGTAATATAATATATATAATATATATGACCAGTAGGCTAAGTAATATAATATATATGACCAGCAGGCTAAGTAATATAATATATATAATATATATGACCAGCAGGCTAAGTAATATAATATATATAATATATAAGACCAACAGGCTATGTAATATAATATATATAATATATATGACCAGTAGGCTATGTAATATAATATATATAATATATATGACCAGTAGGCTAAGAAATATAATATATATGACCAGTAGGCTAAGTAATATAATATATATATAATATATATGACCAGCAGGCTAAGTAATATAATATATATGACCAGTAGGCTAAGCAATATAATATCTATAATATATATGACCAGCAGGCTAAGTAATATAATATATATAATATATATGACCAGCAGGCTAAGTAATATAATATATATAATATATATGACCAGTAGGCTAAGTAATATAATATATATATTATATATATGACCAGCAGGCTAAGTAATATAATATATATATAATATATATGACCAGTAGGCTAAGTAATATAATATATATGACCAGTAGGCTAAGTAATATAATATATATGACCAGCAGGCTAAGTAATATAATATATATAATATATATGACCAGTAGGCTAAGTAATATAATATATATGACCAGCAGGCTAAGTAATATAATATATATAATATATATGACCAGCAGGCTAAGTAATATAATATATATAATATATAAGACCAACAGGCTATGTAATATAATATATATAATATATATAACCAGCAGGCTAAGTAATATAATAATATATAATATATATGACCAGTAGGCTAAGTAATATAATATATATATATATATATATATATATATATATATATATATATATATATATATATATATATATATATATATGACCAGTAGGCTAAGTAATATAATATATATGACCAGCAGGCTAAGTAATATAATATATATGACCAGTAGGCTAAGTAATATAATATATATATATATGACCAGCAGGCTAAGTAATATAATATATATGACCAGTAGGCTAAGTAATATAATATATATAATATATATGACCAGCAGGCTAAGTAATATAATATATATGACCAGTAGGCTAAGTAATATAATATATATAATATATATGACCAACAGGCTAAGTAATATAATATATATAATATATATGACCAGCAGGCTAAGTAATATAATATATATAATATATATGACCAGTAGGCTAAGTAATATAATATATATAATATATATGACCAGTAGGCTAAGTAATATAATATATATGACCAGCAGGCTAAGTAATATAATATATATATATATATATATATATATATATATATATATATATATATATATATATATATATATATATATATGACCAGTAGGCTAAGTAATATAATATATATATAATATATTTGACCAGCAGGCTAAGTAATATAATATATATATAATATATATGACCAGTAGGCTAAGTTATATAATATATATGACCAGTAGGCTAAGTAATATAATATATATGACCAGCAGGCTAAGTAATATAATATATATAATATATATGACCAGTAGGCTAAGTAATATAATATATATGACCAGCAGGCTAAGTAATATAATATATATAATATATATGACCAGCAGGCTAAGTAATATAATATATATAATATATAAGACCAACAGGCTATGTAATATAATATATATATAATATATATGACCAGTAGGCTAAGTAATATAATATATATAATATATATGACCAGCAGGCTAAGCAATATAATATATATATAATATATATATATGACCAGTAGGCTAAGTAATATAATATATATAATATATATAACCAGCAGGCTAAGTAATATAATATATATAATATATATGACCAGTAGGCTAAGTAATATAATATATATATATATATATATATATATATATATATATATATATATATATATATATATATATATATATATGACCAGTAGGCTAAGTAATATAATATATATGACCAGCAGGCTAAGTAATATAATATATATGACCAGTAGGCTAAGTAATATAATATATATAATATATATGACCAGCAGGCTAAGTAATATAATATATATGACCAGTAGGCTAAGTAATATAATATATATATATATATGACCAACAGGCTAAGTAATATAATATATATAATATATATGACCAGCAGGCTAAGTAATATAATATATATAATATATATGACCATTAGGCTAAGTAATATAATATATATAATATATATGACCAGTAGGCTAAGTAATATAATATATATGACCAGCAGGCTAAGTAATATAATATATATAATATATATGACCAGTAGGCTAAGTAATATAATATATATAATATATATGACCAGTAGGCTAAGTAATATAATATATATGACCAGCAGGCTAAGTAATATAATATATATAATATATATGACCAGTAGGCTAAGTAATATAATATATATATATATATATATATATATATATTATATATATATATATATATATATATATATATATATATATATATATATATGACCAGTAATACAGTGGGGAGAACAAGTATTTGATACACTGCCGATTTTGCAGGTTTTCCTACTTACAAAGCATGGTAGAGGTCAGTAATTTCTATCATAGGTACACTTCCAACTGTGAGACGGCAGGCTAAGTATATAATATATATAATATATATGACCAGCAGGCTAAGTAATATAATATATATAATATATATGACCAGTAGGCTAAGTAATATAATATATATATATTATATAATGACCAGCAGGCTAAGTAATATAATATATATATAATATATACTGACCAGTAGGCTAAGTAATATAATATATATGACCAGTAGGCTAAGTAATATAATATATATGACCATCAGGCTAAGTAATATAATATATATAATATATAATGACCAGTAGGCTAAGTAATATAATATATATGACCAGCAGGCTAAGTAATATAATATATAATATATATGACCAGCAGGCTAAGTAATATAATATATATAATATATAAGACCAACAGGCTATGTAATATAATATATATAATATATATAACCCAGCAGGCTAAGTAATATAATAATATAATATTATGACCAGTAGGCTAAGTAATATAATATATATATATATATATATATATTATATATGACCAGTAGGCTAAGTAATATAATATATATATATATAATATATATATAATATATATGACCAGTAGGCTAAGTAATATAATATATATAATATATATGACCAGCAGGCTAAGCAATATAATATATATAATATATATATATATATGACCAGTAGGCTAAGTAATATAATATATATAATATATATAACCAGCAGGCTAAGTAATATAATATATATAATATATATGACCAGTAGGCTAAGTAATATAATATCTATATAATATCTATATAAGTATATATATATATATATATATATATATATATATATATATATATATATATATATATATATGACCAGTAGGCTAAGTCATATAATATATCTGACCAGCAGGCTAAGTAATATAATATATATGACCAGTAGGCTAAGTAATATAATATATATAATATATATGACCAGCAGGCTAAGTAATATAATATATATGACCAGTAGGTAAGTAATATAATATATATAATATATATGACCAACAGGCTAAGTAATATAATATATATAATATATATGACCAGCAGGCTAAGTAATATAATATATATAATATATATGACCAGTAGGCTAAGTAATATAATATATATAATATATATGACCAGTAGGCTAAGTAATATAATATATATGACCAGCAGGCTAAGTAATATAATATATATAATATATATGACCAGTAGGCTAAGTAATATAATATATATAATATATATGACCAGTAGGCTAAGTAATATAATATATATGACCAGCAGGCTAAGTAATATAATATATATAATATATATGACCAGTAGGCTAAGTAATATAATATAATATATATATATATATATATATATATATATATATATATATCTATATATATATATATATATATATATATATATGACCAGTATATACAGTGGGGAGAACAAGTATTTGATACACTGCCGATTTTGCAGGTTTTCCTACTTACAAAGCATGTAGAGGTCTGTAATTTTTATCATAGGTACACTTCAACTGTGAGAGACGGAATCTAAAAAAAAAATCCAGAAAATCACATTGTATGATTTTTAAGTAATTAATTTGCATTTTATTGCATGACATAAGTATTTGATCGCCTACCAACCAGTAAGAATTCCGGCTCTTTCAGACCTGTTAGTTTTTCTTTAAGAAGCCCTCCTGTTCTCCACTCATTACCTGAATTAACTGCACCTGTTTGAACTCGTTACCTGTATAAAAGACACCTGTCCACACACTCAATCAAACAGACTACAACCTCTCCACAATGGCCAAGACCAGAGAGCTGTTTAAGGACATCAGGGATAAAATTGTAGACCTGCACAAGGCTGGGATGGGCTACAGGACAATAGGCAAGCAGCTTGGTGAGAGGGCAACAACTGTTGGCGCAATTATTAGAAAATGGAAGAAGTTCAAGATGACGGTCAATCACCCTCGGTCTGGGGCTCCATGCAAGATCTCACCTCGTGGGGCATCAATGATCATGAGGAAGGTGAGGGATCAGCCCAGAACTACACGACAGGACATGGTCAATGACCTGAAGAGAGCTGGGACCACAGTCTCAAAGAAAACCATTAGTAACACACTACGCCGTCATGGATTTAAATCCTGCAGCGCACGCAAGGTCCCCCTGCTCAAGCCAGCGCATGTCCAGGCCCGTCTGAAGTTTGCCAATGACCATCTGGATGATCATGAGGAGGAATGGGAGAAGGTCATGTGGTCTGATGAGACAAAAATAGAGCTTTTTGGTCTAAACTCCACTCGCCGTGTTTGGAGGAAGAAGAAGGATGAGTACAACCCCAAGAACACCATCCCAACCGTGAAGCATGGAGGTGGAAACATAATTCTTTGGGGATGCTTTTCTGCAAAGGGGACAGGACGACTGCACCGTATTGAGGGGAGGATGGATGGGGCCATGTATCGCGAGATCTTGGCCAACAACCTCCTTCCCTCAGTAAGAGCATTGAAGATGGGTCGTGGCTGGGTCTTCCAGCATGACAACGACCCGAAACACACAGCCAGGGCAACTAAGGAGTGGCTCCGTAAGAAGCATCTCAAGGTCCTGGAGTGGCCTAGCCAGTCTCCAGACCTGAACCCAATAGAAAATCTTTGGAGGGAGCTGAAAGTCCATATTGCCCAGCGACAGCCCCGAAACCTGAAGGATCTGGAGAAGGTCTGTATGGAGGAGTGGGCCAAAATCCCTGCTGCAGTGTGTGCAAACCTGGTCAAGACCTACAGGAAATGTATGCTCTCTGTAATTGCAAACAAAGGTTTCTGTACCAAATATTAAGTTCTGCTTTTCTGATGTATCAAATACTTATGTCATGCAATAAAATGCAAATTAATTACTTAAAAATCATACAATGTAATTTTCTGTTCAGTTGATGTGTACCTATGATACAAATTACAGACCTCTACATGCTTTGTAAGTAGGAAAACCTGCAAAATCGGCAGTGTATCAAATACTTGTTCTCCCCACTGTATATATAGCACATAATATAGAGGTCACATTTATGACCAGCTGGTTGTACGGTGGTCAGAAAAAGCTGTCATATTTGTTGTTGTAAATTGGTGTATAACTCCTGTCTCTCCCTGCTGTGTGTTCTAGGTGGTGTGTGTGGTGCATAACTTCAAAGGCAAGCTGTTGCTGAGTAGTGAAGACCCCCCACAGGAGAACATGGCTAATGCTTCCATGATGAGCATGTCTAGCGTGGAGAGCCCACTGGAGAACTACGTCACATTGCAGGTACTCAACCCTATACACTCTTCCCTACTACACCCTACACCCTGTAGAAACACCCTATACTCTACACCCTATAGAAACACCCTATACACTAATCCCTATAGAAACACCCTATACACTACACCCTATAGAAACACCCTATACACTACACCCTATAGAAACACCCTATACACTATAGAAACACCCTATACACTACTCCCTATAGAAACACCATATACACTACTCCCTATAGAAACACCCTACACCCTGTAGAAACACCCTACACCCTATATAAACACCCTATTCACTACACCCTGTAGAAACACCCTACACCCTGTAGAAACACCCTATTCAATACACCCTATAGAAACACCCTATTCACTACACCCTATTCACTACACCCTATAGAAACACCCTAGTCACTACACCCTGTAGAAACACCCTATACACTATAGAAACACCCTATACACTACACCCTATAGAAAAACCCTATTCACTACACCCTATAGAAACACCCTATTCACTACACCCTGTAGAAACACCCTACACCCTGTAGAAACACCCTATACACTACACCCTATGGAAACACCCTATACACTACACCCTGTGGAAACGCCCTATTCACCCATTTGCTATGAGACGCGAAATTGAGCTCAGGTACATCATGTTTCCATTGATCATCCTTGAGATGTTTCTACAACTTGATTTGGAGTCCACCTGTGGTAAATTCAATTGATTGGACATGATTTGGAAAGGCACACACCTGTCTATATAAGGTCCCACAGTTGATAGTGCATGTCAGAGCAAAAACCAAGCCCTGAGGTCGAAGGAATTGTCCGTAGAGCTCTGGGGAAGGGTACCAAAACATTTCTGCAGCATTGAAGGTCCCCAAGAACACATTGGCCTCCATCATCACCCCCCTCCTCCGCACACTCCACTGGCTTCCAGTTGAAGCTCGCATCCGCTACAAGACCATGGTGCTTGCCTATGGAGCAGTGAGGGGAACGGCACCTCTGTACCTTCAGGCTCTGATCAGTCCCTACACCCAAATGAGGGCATTGCGCTCATCCACCTCTGGCCTGCTGGCTCCCCTTCCTCTGCGGAAGCATAGTTCCCGCTCAGCCCAGTCAAAACTGTTCGCTGCTCTGGCACCCCAATGGTGGAACAAGCTCCCTCACGACGCCAGGACAGCGGAGTCACTCACCACCTTCCGGAGACATTTGAAACCCCACCTCTTTAAGGAATACCTGGGATAGGATAAAGGAATCCTTCTACCCCCCCCCCCCCCCCCCCCCCCAATTGTAAAGTGGTTATCCCACTGGCTATAGGGTGAACGCACCAATTTGTGAGTCGCTCTGGCTAAGAGCGTCTGCTAAATGACGTTAATGTGCCCATGAGCAAGGCACTTAACCCTAATTGCTCCTGTAAGTCGCTCTGGATAAGAGCGTCTGCTAAATGACTAAAATGTAAAATGTAAATGTAATCATTCTTAAATGGAAAAAGTTTGGAACCACCAATACTCTTCCTAGAGCTGGCCGCCCGGCCAAACTGAGCAATCGGAGGAGAAGGGCCTTGGTCAGGGAGGTGACCAAGAACCCGATGGTCACTCTGACAGAGCTCCAGAGTTCCTCTTTGGAGATGGGAGAACCTTCCAGAAGGACAACCATCTCTGCAGCACTCCACCAATCAGGCCTTTATGGTAGAGTGGCCAGACGGAAGCCACTCCTCAGTAAAAGGCACATGACAGCCCGCTTGGAGTTTCCCAAAAGGCACCTAAAGGACTCTCAGACCATGAGAAACAAGATTCTCTGGTCTGATGAAACCAAGATTGAACTCTTTGTCCTGAATGCCAAGCGTCATGTCTGGAGGAAACCTGCCACCATCCTTACGGTGAAGCATGGTGGTGGCATTATCATGCTGTGGGGATGTTTTTCAGCGGCAGGGACTGGGAGACTAGTCAGGATCGTGGGAAAGATGAATGGTGCAAAGTACAGAGAGATCCTTGATGAAAACCTGCTCCAGAGCGCTCAGGACCTCAGACTGGGGTGAAGGTTCACCTTCCAACAGGACAACGACCCTAAGCACACAGCCAAGACAATGCAGGAGTGGCTTCGGGACAAGTCTCTGAATGTCCTTGAGTTGCCCAGTCAGAGCCCGGACTTGAACCCGATGGAACATCTCTGGAGAGACCTGAAAATAGCTGTGCAGCGACGCTCCCCATCCAACCTGACAGAGCTTGAGAGGATCTGCAGAGAAGAATGGGAGAAACTCCCCAAATACATGTGTGCCAAGCTTGTAGCGTCATACCCAAGAAGACTCGAGGCTGTAATCGCTGCCAAAGGTGCTTCAACAAAGTACTGAGTGAAGGGTCTGAAATTTATGTTAATGTAATATTTCAGTTTTAATTTCTAAAAACCTGTTTTTGCTTTGTCATTATGAGGTATTGTGTGTAGATTGATGAGGGAAAAAAACAATATAATCAATTTCAGAATAAGGCTGTAACATAACAAAATGTGGAAAAAGTCAAGGGGTCTGAATACTTTCCGAATGCACTGTATATATTGTTTCCAATTGATGACCAATGAATTAATGTCCTGCTATAAACATACACGCACGACAGTGTCTAAGGTTTACCAACAATGGTGCGACAATCAAAACACATACAATCAGTGGCAGTCCTGTGGGCGAAAACATCTCGTTGATGAGAGAGGTCGAAGGAGAACGGCAAGAATCATGCTAGCTAACAGGCGGACCACAAACAGACAAATAACGGCGCAGTACAACAGTGGTGTGCGGAACGGCATCTCGGAACGTGCAACTCGTCGATCCTTGTCTCTGATGGGCTGTTGCAGCAGACGACCACACCGGGTTCTCCTCCTATCAGTTAAAAACAGGAAGCGGCTCCAGTGGGCATGCGATCACCAAAACTGGACAATTGAGGAGTGGAATCTTTTTTACTGGAACATAACAGTGAGTTCAGTTTACTTGAGTGGCCTGTGCAGTCCCCAGACCACAACCCAATAGAGCATCTTTGGGATGAGATGGAACGGGCTGATCGCAGCATGAATGTACCGCCGTCCAATCTGCAGCACCTGCATGATGCCATCGCATCAGCATGGACCAACATCCCTGTGGAACGTTTCTGACACCTTGTAGAATGTCCCGAAGACAGGCTGTTCTGGAGGCAATGGGGGGGTCCGACTCCGTACCAGATGGGTGTACCTATTAAACCGTCCGGTTAGTGTATCTTAAACATTCTGTGCACATCAGTACCACTAAACTCCTGTAGGAGACAGACATTGAAGATGAGCCTCCTTGGTCGTTCAAAGAGCGCATTCTGGGGCAGAACACAAGGCAATAAATGTATGCAGCTGTTTGTGTTTGGCTCCAAGACAACCTCTGGAACAATGGCACCATATTATTTTTTATAGTGTACTACTTTTGACCATGTCCCATAGGGTCAAATAATAATAATAATAATAATAATAATAATAATAATAATAATAATAATAATTATTATTATTATTATTATTATTATTTACCAAATATTTAGAAAGAGGTCATAATTTCATGGAGTCTGTGAAGGAAGAACCCCCATTTAAAAAGTGGTAAGCAAGTTAGGTCCAAAAAACAGATTTTCACCAAGTCAAATTAATTTATTGTGTTAGAGTTTTCATAATGCTTGTATCTAAACCAAAGTAGATCATTTTAAGATTGTTCTATACATCAGTTGGGGTCTCTATAAGCTTCAATATGAGGTCCTAAACCTGGCATGGCAGTGCCTAATATAGTCAAAATGTTTGCCAATGGCAAGTTGAGCAAATTGAAGTGTTTTCTTCCCAGGCATTATCGCTGGGATATGAGGTAACAACAGGGCCTGGTTTATGTTAAAAGTGTTTTAAAAATGTATTTGTTAGGTGTTAAGCCTATGTTCAAAGATGATTAAAATTATTAAAAGACAAAAAAGTGATTTGTGATTATGTTTAATTGTGTTTGGGAAATAAAGATAGACATGGTTTTTAAAAAGGTAGTGGTAATATTTCATTCAGTACAGAAATGTGTAGGTGGTTTAACTTACCCTGTCCCGGGGCTCAACATACCCCATACCCGGGGTAAGCGGCTCAGTTTACCCCATACCCGGGCTAAGCGGCTCAACATACCCCATACCCGGGCTAAGCGGCTCAACATACCCCATACCCGGGCTAAGAGGCTCAGTTTACCCCATACCCGGGCTAAGCGGCTCAGTTTACCCCATACCCGGGCTAAGCGGCTCAGTTTACCCCATACCCGGGCTAAGAGGCTCAGTTTACCCCATACCCGGGCTAAGCGGCTCAACATACCCCATACCCGGGCTAAGCGGCTCAACATACCCCATACCCGGGCTAAGAGGCTCAGTTTACCCCATACCCGGGCTAAGCGGCTCAGTTTACCCCATACCCGGGCTAAGAGGCTCAGTTTACCCCATACCCGGGCTAAGCGGCTCAGTTTACCCCATACCCGGGCTAAGCGGCTCAGTTTACCCCATACCCGGGCTAAGCGGCTCAGTTTACCCCATACCCGGGCTAAGCGGCTCAGTTTACCCCATACCCGGGCTAAGCGGCTCAGTTTACCCCATACCCGGGCTAAGCGGCTCAGTTTACCCCATACCCGGGCTAAGCGGCTCAGTTTACCCCATACCCGGGCTAAGCGGCTCAGTTTACCCCATACCCGGGCTAAGCGGCTCAGTTTACCCCATACCCGGGCTAAGCGGCTCAACATACCCCATACCCGGGCTAAGCGGCTCAGTTTACCCCATACCCGGGCTAAGCGGCTCAACATACCCCATACCCGGGCTAAGCGGCTCAGTTTACCCCATACCCGGGCTAAGCGGCTCAACATACCCATACCCGGGCTAAGCGGCTCAGTTTACCCCTACCCGGGCTAAGCGGCTCAGTTTACCCCATACCCGGGCTAAGCGGCTCAACATACCCCAGACCCGGGCTAAGAGGCTCAGTTTACCCCATACCCGGGCTAAGAGGCTCAGTTTACCCCATACCCGGGCTAAGCGACTCAGTTTACCCCATACCCGGGCAAAGTTGTGCCGAGAGACCACTTTTTTTTCCCGACAAGTTATGTTTTCAAAACTGTCATATTTACATGAATTCTGATTATTTCCAGGGATACGCAAAATCCTGAAATATATATGCAGATATCTTTGTTAGAAATAATACTATCTTTCCCTTGACGGAGTGAGGCTGAATGTAAAAAACAATGGCTCAACTTACCCCACTCTCCCCTACTAATCTAATGAATAAACATAGCACTGTATGATGCACTGATACACATCAATATATTCTCTGAATTGAATACCTTTTGGTGAAAACCAGCCAATTGGAAGAGTGTCCTACAGGCATAGAACAATGCATAAAACAGAACATGCAGTCCACCACTTTCCATTTGGATGAGTTGTGTGGAAGCAGAGCACTGACCCTGACAATACTGTGTCTTTCTCTGCCAGTGACTCACTCACATAGTTATCTTATTGTGGTTGGTGAAATTGTATTATAATCCCTTCCTGCTAACCACAGTATTGACCTGTGGGGTCCCTGTTCTTCCACTGCGTCAAGCTCTTCAGAGCTGGTTTTACTGTGGGAGAAGTGGTTAGTTACTCAACGTTCTCGATGTCTCAGGTGCTCAAGAACATTTCTTCATACTGTTGCATAGCGACTAGTTAGTTAGCAGCGCTGTGAATTATGCGATGTGAGTAGGGCTGTTATTGTGTAGGGCCGCCACACTTGCAGTCACGAGTCATGACCACTGTCAACTTCCACGTAACTCCTGAGTGGCGCAGTGGTCTAAGGCACTGCATAGCAGTGCTAACTGTGCCACTAGAGATCCTGGTTCGAATCCAGGCTCTTTCGCAGCCGGCCGCGACCGGGAGACCCATGGGGTGGCGCACAATTGGCCCAGCGTCGTCCAGGGTAGGGGAGGGAATGGCCGGCAGGGATGTAGCTCAGTTGATAGAGCATGGCGTTTGCAACGCCAGGGTTGTGGGCTCGATTCCCACGGGGGGCCAGTATAAAAAAATATATATGTATTCACTAACTGTAAGTCTCTCTGGATAAGAGTGTCTGCTAAATGACTAAAATGTAAATGTAGTCACGGTAGCTAGGCTTCTCCAGGCTCTGATGCTGCTAAATGGTCATTAGTAGCCTACCAAACTTGCTAACTGCCTGGATACTCAGCACTCTATTGTCCCTCTAATCACTCTGACATCAATGCAAATGTTTTCGAAAATCTAATCAAACACTTACATTCACATTTACATTTTCGTCATTTAGCAGACGCTCTTATGGAGTCATGAGTCATAAAATATGCCATTTATGAGTCATGAGCTCATGTTGTTGTCAACATTTCTATAGGCTATGCAATTGTGTGAAAAAAAAACAGTTTTGATGGCCTCTATTAAAAAGAGATTTCTATAGGCTAGGCCTGCTATATTTATTTCTCAACTTTCCTAATATTAAGCACATTGCTTCTCTTTACAACAGGAGTATAGCCTACCTGGCTGGCATGAAAATGAACCACGGGAAAAGCGTCATCCATTCGCTATTGAAGTGCATAAATGACATGTATGTGTTTCCCCCTGCTGCTGTTTCAGGACAGGTGCATGATAATGGTCCATTCTAAATCAAAACTAATTTCACACATATTATTCACTATATGTAAAGACAAGATTAAATCAACAATAGTCTGATGGGTGACAAGATTAGCCTATCACATGTGAATTATATATTATCACTTGTGAATGATGCCCAGCTTGTGTTCAGGAAGGCAAGAAACAGCGCATGCCTTTTTTTACTACTTTTTCGAATCATAGCCTAGCCCATAGGCCTATATGCTTTGATAAGGTTTGTATCACAACTTAAGTGGCCAAATAACTTCTTAAAATTAAGCACATTAATCCGCTTTATAACCGGTGTAGAGCCTAACTGGCATACATAGGTGGCGCGTGAGTTTCAAGTTTGAAGAAGATCATTTTCACCATAAAAATGCACTTTTATAAAAAAGCATTACGATACATAATGACATTTGCGGTCACTTTTGAGAATGTTGTTTTTCCGCTAATTGATTGCATTTTGGAACATTCGCGCTTATAGCCTACTGCCGTGTGCATTACTGTGCTAATAATTAATATAATTAATATAATTTAATATATTATATATATTATTATTATATATATATAATATTGAAATAGAAATAATAGTTTGTCAAAATATTAAGCTAAATGTTCTGATCTGTTGCATCAGCCTCATTGATTTTAAAAGGTTTTTTGATGATAGTGGTTGTATTAATTTGGGCTCTATCGCATCCCACAACTGTCCCAGACTATGTTTGGAATAGAATAGGTCAACTTTTGTACTGTGGGGGAAGGTAGATTGACATAGGCTAGTGCTTTTGCTGTTTGTTAGGCCTACTCATCTTGTTGGCTGATGAAGAATTGTGCAAATATGGACAGTTCTTCTAACATCTTCAATATGCGCCTCGGAATTTGATAAGGACGCACGCCCCGATGTGTCTGTCTTCACTTGTAGCCTTTGGGAAGTACCCAAGATTGCCTGTGAGGGCATTGGCTAATACGAATTGAGATACAGTACCAGTCAAAAGTTTGGACACACCGACTCATTCCAGGATTTTTCTTAATTTTTCACTATTTTCTACATTGTAGAATAATAGTGAAGACATCAAAACAATGAAATAACACATATGGAATCATGTAGTAATCAAAAAAGCGTTAAACAAATCAAAATGTTTTTTGATTTTAGATTCTTCAAAGTAGCCACCCTTTGCCTTGATGACAGTTTTGCGCACTCATGACATTCTCTCAACCAGCTTCATGAGGAATGTTTTTCCAACAGTCTAGAAGGAGTTCCCACATATGCTGAGCACTTGTTGGCTGCTTTTCCTTCACTCTGCGGTCCAACTCATCCCAAACTATCTCAATTGGGTTGAGGTCGGGTGATTGTGGAGGCCATGTCATCTGATGCAGCACTCCATCACTCTCCTTGGTCAAATAGCCCTTACACAGCCTGGAGGTGTGTTTTGGGTCATTGTCCTGTTGAAAAACAAATGATAGTCCCACTAAGCGCAAACCAGATGGGATGGCGTATCGCTGCAGAATGCTGTGGTAGCCATGCTGGTTAAGTGTGCCTTGAAATCTAAATAAATCACAGACAGTGTCACCAGCAAAGCACCCCCACACCATCACACATCCTCCATGCTTCACGGTGGGAACCACACATGCGGAGATCATTCGTTCACCTACTCTGCGTCTCACAAAGACAGAGCGGTTGGAACCAAATCATCAGACCAAAGGGCAGATTTCCACCGGTCTGTTCTTCTTATTGGTGTCCTTTAGTAGTGGTTTCTTTGCAGCAATTCGACCATGAAGGCTCCTCTGAACAGTTGATGTTGAGATGTGTCTGTTACTTGAACTCTGTGAAGCGTTTATTTGGGCTGCAATCTGAGGTGCAGTTAACTCTAATGAACTCTGGATCTTCCTTTCCTGTGGCGGTCCCCATGAGAGCCAGTTTCATCATAGAGCTTAATGTTTTCTTAGACTGCACTTTAAGACATTTTCAAAGTTCTTGAAATGTTCCAGATTGACTGACATTCATGTCTTAAAGTAATGATGGAATGTCGTTTCACTTTGCTTATTTGAGCTGTTCTTTTACCAAATAGGGCTATCTTCTGTATAACACCACTACCTTGTCACAACACAGCTGATTGGCTCAAACGCATTAAGAAGGAAAGAAATTCCACAAATTAACTTTTAAGAAGGCACACCTGTTAATTGAAATGAATTCCAGGTGACTACCTCATGAAGCTGGTTGAGAGAATGCCAAGAGTGTGCAAAGCTGTCATCAAGGCAAAGGGTGGCTACTTTGAAGAATCTCAAATATAAAATATATTTTGATTTGTTTAACACTACATGATTCCGTATGTGTTAATTCATAGTTTTGATGTCTTCACTATTATTCTACAATGTAGAAAATAGGAAAAATAAAGAAAAACCCTGGAATGAGTAGGTGTGTCCAAACTTTTGACTGGTACTGTATCTGAGAGAGCTATGTGAGTGAGAGGTGCTTCGGAGCACGCAGCCGGGAGAAGGGAATTATAATGATTATACTCAGCTCAAGGGCACAACGGCCACCGGCCGCAAAATACATGGATTTTTTTAGGGGGCATTACGGCCACACAAAGGGGATGCCGCCGGGAAATTTGAGGCATTATCAAGTGCTTGTCAAATTGTGAATGAGAGACTGATGAAGTGTGTGCAGCCTGCGTAAAAAACACCGAACCAGTCGCATCATGCAGCCTTAGAATGTATTAAAAATCTAAACATGTAGCCCAACGTTTGTATAACAGCTAAAGTTGCACAAATAGCTGTAAATTAAGCATATAGGAGGAACTGTTTCTTTGTTAACCGCTCAACACAGAATAGCCGCATATGCGCACTCCCTCAAATCATTTGGAAGAAATATCCTTTCTATTTTATTCAGCTTTGTTCATTTGCATTCTTCATACTATAAAATAATATAAAATAATGCCACGGAATTCTAACCAAATCTTGTCTGCTAAATGAACTAGTGTAGCCCACAGCCACATGGCATAGCCAGATCAGGGCCTAACATAAGGACAACTCAGAGTATGCTATTCTGTTCTTCTGAAATAGACTACATTTTCTTCATAACATGTTTCTTTAGACCTGTCTAAAATAAATAATGGATTTAATGTGATGATGTTGGCTATATTGAATGGAATTGATTAGACTTTAAAATGTAGACGTTCCAAAGGTCTGCGTCAGTGGCTTGTAGGCTACGTTTAGAAGCCAAGAGATGCTCAATGTGTTTATGTTAATTACCGGAACAATTACCATGAGACAGGCAGTTATTTGCTTGACAAAATGTCATGTCCGCCACAGCCGTAGATGTGAGGCATTACCAACCTGTTATACCACATCAGTCAGGCTGTGGCGGTCATGACACCCTCCCAGTCCACCATATTATTATTATTTTTTTACCCAGAAACACTGACACAAATAACTGCATCAGTCTTCAGTCCCATTTTAAAACAAACTACAACATTCAAGGGTTAATGAAGCCTTCCTAAAACCTTCATAAGTATGAAAATTTCCTGTGTAACGTGATTAGGAATACTTTTTGAATGGCGTATGAATCTTGCATCTGCATCTGACACAGACAGGGGCTATATGCACCTTATTTATGGAACAAACTGCAGATCCAACTTAAGTGAGACACGCTGGTGTCCCTTGCCCATTTTATTGGAGGATCAATATGATGTTGTCTGTGATTGTTTCTGTTGAATTGTGTTTTTTTGTTTTGTATGTTTGAAATGTTCTTGTCTGTATGTCTAAAACTGTACATGTCAACATGTTTACACAGGGCACAGCCGTAAAAGAGATCCATGTCTCAGTCTGTTTTTCCCTGTTAAAATAAAGATTTAAATAATAATAATAATATGGCGGTTGAACTAGATGATCAAGGTAACACATAGCTAGAGTACAAGCCGCACCTCCCCCCCCCCCCCCCAAAATAAAATTTTCTGTAACTCGTCTTATTTCATCGCTGTTGTATTTTATCTTTCCTCTTTTTAGAATCACATCGCCTTCGCTGAGGTCACATGACGCTGAATCAGCAGTCTGGCAAACCCATTGGACATCCACGCTCTTCACCGTCCAATCAAAAATTGAATAGCTCTTCACCGTCCAATCAAAAATCTAATAATCAAGGTGCAATGCTAACTCATTATGTACGGTTACTGTATGAGGTCTGTTAGTGTTGTTGTCTGTCCGGTCTCTGTATCATGGCCAATACAGCAGTCAGGTAAAAACTCCCCAATACCATGACTGGAAAGGCCTTTGCTGGGTTTCTCCATTTATTTAATCTATTTTGGGACTAAATCCCCAAATGAAGAAAATCAACTGGAATCAATTTGAATCAACTGGACCCAGATGCCACTATCTACTGAAGCAGATAGGAATTCACCATGGAAGTGACTCATCCATTTTGCCACAATGTTGGTCAAATAGGTTCTTAATCATCACTTCTAAATTATAAATTTTGACAAATATGCATATCAATTCAGGATTAGTAAAATCTGCTAACATGTGCATTGCAAGACCTAACTGCTAAAGTGTTATTATATTCAAATGATGAAAAAAATAGCTGTATAAAATGTATACATACGTCAATATCCTTTTGCCAAATGTTATTGCTGTCTATTTTCTTATGGTTGTACACTGTATGTTCTGTATGTACTGTATGTACTGTATGTACTGTATGTACTGTGTGTACTGTATGCCCTGTATGCACTATGTACTGTACAGTATGTACTGTATGTACTGTATGCAATGTATGTATTGTATGCATTGTATGTACTGTATGCCCTGTATGCACAATGTACTGTATGTACTGTACTGCACTGTATGTACTGTATGCACTGTATGTACTGTGTGTAATGTGTGTACTGTATGCACTGTATGTACTGTATGTACTGTATGCAATGTATGTATTGTATGCATTGTATGTACTGTATGTACTGTATGCACTGTATGCACTGTATGTACTGTATGTACTGTATGTGCTGTATGTACTGTATACACTGTATGTATTGTATGTACTGTATGCACTGTATGCACTCTATGTACTGTATGTACTAAATGTACTGTATGCACTGTATGTACTGTATGTACTGTATGTGTTGTATGTACTGTATGTACTGTGTGTGTTTGTTCACAAAAATTACAGTGCGTGTTGTTTATTTTATCAACTAACTATTAGTACTTGATTGTTTTGTTATCATGAGATAGCTATACCATGTTATACAGCTAGGATACACATCTCTATGTTCTGATTTTTTTATAGCCTGACTTGTGAATAGTGTTAATATTTCCTCCATTTATGTTATTTTACAGACTCTACTACATATTTCATACCTTTTTGTTAAAAAAAGGTTTGTTTCGATAGACAAGACTTTCACGCAACCTACTGATCCTTTTTAAAATGGCTGATTGGTACATTCTTCTTCTTCTTCTTCCTGGTTTGAAGTCAGACGGTTACAGTGTCATTGTAGCATAGAGATTCATTTTGTATGGATGCTGTTGATATTATTCCCACCCAGTTATTTTACCATACTTGTATTTCATTCCTTTGTCTTTTTGACTTGAACATCAATCAAATCATGACCTTTTACACTGTAGACAAAATGAACAATCTTTGAATAAAACATAATCTAAATTGCTCGCTCCTCTTGTGATTTCACTAACCTACGCTGAATACTGAATATCTTGCTGTTTGCTTGAGTCCTGTTTGTCTGTTGTGAATGGTGTGCTGAATGAGAACATCCCTAAAAGCAGAAAGATTGATTGAGCTACACTGTAGAAGGAAGACAATATGCAATAGGGTGACATCACAGTCTGTTGTTGTAGAGGACTCGTTGGAGGAGCAGGTTCCTTGACTGACTCTCCTACGGTCCTACGAAAGACAAACAAACAAACAAACAAAGAGGGAGCAAAACAGCAGGGAGCCATTTCTGACTGTTAGTTAAACAGCAGGGAGCCGTTTCTGACTGTTAGTTAAACAGCAGAGAGCCATTTCTGACTGTTAGTTAAACAGCAGAGAGCCATTTCTGACTGTTAGTTAAACAGCAGAGAGCCATTTCTGACTGTTAGTTAAACAGCAGAGAGCCATTTCTGACTGTTAGTTAAACAGCAGAGAGCCATTTCTGACTGTTAGTTAAACAGCAGAGAGTTATTTGCTAACTGAGAGTCACCAGAGTAGAGGAACATAATGTAGAATAGAGCATTTCTGGAGCTGTTGTCTGCCTACCAAATGGCACCAAATCCCTAGGGCTTTGGTCAAAAGTAGTGCACTATATAGGGAATATGATGTAATTTGGGACACGAAGTTTTCCGTTATTGGATTCTGTAGAATCTTCTGGTACACTGCTCCGTCTGTCGCCTGTGGGGAAGGACTTCTGTCAAGTTTTCCTTACTAGTGGGGTCCGGTGGGCCGAATGTATCAAGTGTCTCAGCCAAGTGTTGTTTTATGATCAGTTTTGCCTGTTAGATCACAGTGAATAAGACTAGATGGACATGAGGGGACCCTGATCCTAGATCAGCACTCCTACTCTGAGATGGTTAATGCATACAGGCCAGCCCCCCACATCTACAGGTGCTCTGAGATGGTTAATGCATACAGGCCAGCCCCCCACATCTACAGGTGCTCTGAGATGGTTAATGCATACAGGCCAGCCCCCCCACATCTACAGGTGCTCTGAGATGGTTAATGCATACAGGCCAGCCCCCCACATCTACAGGTGCTCTGAGATGGTTAATGCATACAGGCCAGCCCCCCACATCTACAGGTGCTCTGAGATGGTTAATGCATACAGGCCAGCCCCCCACATCTACAGGTGCTCTGAGATGGTTAATGCATACAGGCCAGCCCCCCACATCTACAGGTGCTCTGAGATGGTTAATGCATACAGGCCAGCCCCCCACATCTACAGGTGCACAAAGGCAGAGTTATTTTTTTCTCCCTAAAGATTCAAACCTTGTTTTGTTAGCTCCGTACTATAGTACTATAGTACAGTACTATAGTAGCGCTTATTGGAAGGAACATACCAGAAGAAAATGTATGATATGTGATAATGTTTCATCATTTTGTTCCTGCCACAGAAGGTATGTGATGAATGACATGTGACAGAAACAATCCATTACATAGAGAACAGAAGACAGTATGTCTCAGACCTGGTCAGTAAAACACACCAAGAGGCTGGGGCCCCAATGGGACCTGATCAGTAAAACACACCAAGAGGCTGGGGCCCCAATGGGACCTGATCAGTAAAACACACCAAGAGGCTGGGGCCCCAATGGGACCTGGTCAGTAAAACACACCAAGAGGCTGGGGCCCCAATGGGACCTGGTCAGTAAAACACACCAAGAGGCTGGGCCCCAATGGGACTTGGGCAGTGGCAGCAGTTGCTGCTTCAGTCTCGGTTGTTTGATGTTAGTTTGTTCAAATTGTGGTGAGGAGCATCTTTGGCTTTGAGCAAGGTTTGTTTTCTTGTGGGGCGGAGGATGGTCGGAGGCCGTTTGGGAATGCTTCTGAGCACAATTGGAGTTGGACCTGTTTAATCTCTCCTAGCAGGGGTTGGTTTGGACCTGTTTAATCTCTCCTAGCAGGGGTTGGTTTGGACCTGTTTAATCTCTCCCAACAGTTGGTTTGGACCTGTTTAATCTCTCCCAGAAGGTGTTGGTTTGGACCTGTTTAATCTCTCCCAACAGTTGGTTTGGACCTGTTTAATCTCTCTGAGCAGGGGTTGGTTTGGACCTGTTTAATCTCTCCTAGCAGGAGTTGGTATGGCCCTGCTTAATCTCTCCCAGCAGGGGTTGGTATGGACCTGCTTAATCTGTCCCAGCAGGGGTTGGTTTGGACCTGTTTAATCTCTCCTAGAAGTGGTTGGTTTGGACCTGTTTAATCTCTCCCAGCAGTCGGTTGTGAGCTGTGTAATCTTTCCTAGCAGGGGTCGGTTTGTACCTGTTTAATATCTCCTAATTGTTGGTTTGGACCTGCTTCATCTCTCCCAGCAGGGGTTGGTATGGACCTGATTAATCTCTCCCAGCAGGGGTTGGTTTGGACCTGTTAAATCTCTCCCAGCAGTTGGTTTGGACCTGTTTAATCTCTCTAAGCAGGGGTTGGTATGGAGCTGTTTAATCTCTCATATCTGTGGTTGGTTTGGACCTGTTTAATCTCTCCTAGCAGGGGTTGGTTTGGAGCTGTTTAATCTATCCTAGCAGGGGTTGGTTTGGACCTGTTTAATTTCTCCCAACAATTGGTTTGGACCTGTTTAATCTCTCCTAGCAGGGGTTTGTTTGGACCTGTTTAATCTCTCCTAGCAGTTTGTTTGGACCTGTTTAATCTCTCCTAGCAGAGGTTGGTTTGGACATGTTTATTCTCTCTTAGCAGGGGTTGGTTTGGACCTGTTTAATCTCTCCCAACAGTTGGTTTGGACCTGTTTAATCTCTCTTTGCAGGGGTTGGTTTGGACCTGTCTAATCTCTCCTAGCAGGGGTTGGTATGGAGCTGTTTAATCTCTCATAGCAGTAGTTGGTTTGGACCTGTCTAATCTCTCCTAGCAGGGGTTGGTTTGGACCTGTTTAATTTCTCCCAACAATTGGTTTGGACCTGTTTAATCTCTCCTAGCAGGGGTTTGTTTGGACCTGTTTAATCTCTCCTAGCAGTTTGTTTGGACCTGTTTAATCTCTCCTAGCAGGGGTTGGTTTGGACCTGTTTAATCTCTCCTAGCAGGGGTTGGTTTGGACCTGTTTAATCTCTCCTAGCAGTTGGTTTGGACCTGTTTAATCTCTCCTAGCAGGGGTTGGTTTGGACCTGTTTAATCTATCCTAGCAAGGATTTGTTTGGACCTGTTTAATCTCTCCTAGCTGGGGTTGGTTTGAAGATATTTCATCTCTCCTAGCTGGGGTTGGTTCTGACCTTTTTAATACTGTCTAATCTCTCCCAACAGTTGGTTTGGACCTGTTTAATCTCTCTGAGCAGGGGTTGGTTTGGACCTGTTTAATCTCTCCCAACAGTTGGTTTGGACCTGTTTAATCTCTCTGAGC